TGGATGATGGGTGTGTGAGTGCTGAATGATGTGTGTGTGAGTGCTGAATGATGTGTGTGAGTGCTGAATGATGGGTGTGTGAGTGCTGAATGATGGGTGTGTGAGTGCTGGATGATGGGTGTGTGTGTGCTGGATGATGGGTGTGTGTGTGCTGGATGATGGGTGTGTGAGTGCTGGATGATGGGTGTGTGTGTGCTGGATGATGGGCGTGTGAGTGCTGGATGATGGGTGTGTGTGTGCTGGATGATGGGTGTGTGAGTGCTGGATGATGGGTGTGTGAGAGCTGGATGATGGGTGTGTGTGTGCTGGATGATGGGTGTGCGAGTGCTGGATGATGTGTGTGCGTGTGCTGGATGATGTGTGTGTGTGTGTGCTGGATGATGTGTGTGTGAGAGTGCTGGATGATGTGTGTGTGTGAGTGCTGGATGATGGGTGTGTGAGTGCTGGATGATGTGTGTGTGTGTGATTGCTGGATGATGGGTGTGTGTGAGTGCTGGATGATGGGTGTGTGAGTGCTGGATGATGGGTGTGTGAGTGCTGGATGATGTGTGTGTGTGAGTGCTGGATGATGGGTGTGTGTGAGTGCTGGATGATGGGTGTGTGAGTGCTGGATGATGGGGAGGGGAAGCATTTGTTTCTTACTTTATGTGTTTTTTTTGTTTTATTCCCCCCTCCCTGCTTTTTACCTTGTCAGGGAGGGGGGAGATCGCCTGGTGGTCGGGTGGAGGGAGGCAGCCGCTGCACACAGGGGCCATCACAAGCTGTGTTCCCTCTCCAGCTCTAACTCTCGCGAGACTCGCCTGTGCGGAGCGTTGCCATGGTAACAGCCGCGGGTCTCGCGAGAGTTAGAGCTGGAGAGGGAACACAGCATGTGCTGGCCCCTGTGTGCAGGTAGCAGGGCCGGTCCTGCAGGACAGGGAACGGGAACGGCGTTCCTGCTTTGGAAAAAGTGCAGGAACGCCGTTCCCATGCGTTCCTGCAGGACTCGAGCCCTGGGTTAAACGATTCAAGAAAGTCTGTATTCCTGCACCGGATCTTTCTGCTCCTTTGCCCTTTGTTTTCTCAAAATCAGGAAAATACTTGCAGCATCAGGCAGTGGCAGCGCTGATTGGCTGAGAGCAGTTAGCTAATGCTCTCAGCCAATCAGTGACTCCCCATTCATAAAAATGGCTTGAAAAATTACGTACCTTATTTGGATTGGCTGAGATCATCTTGTGGCATTTTGTGTAGAAGAAAAGGCATGCAACTTTTTTTAACTAATGGTGAAGGGAGTCACCTAAATGTGGCTTAGACACTATAGTGCTAAAGTGTTCCTTTAAGATACAAGAGGTATAAGAAAAAAAACCTCAAATGCCCTCACAAACAGAGCACACATTACACATAAAGAAGAGAAAAGGTAACATATCTTTTCTCCTTTTTTCTGAATGCTTCCTCTTCCACATGTAGCTAAAATGGTGGCTTTTAGTTACAAAATAAAGAGGATATTCTTTCTACATTCATTTTACATTTCACACCTCACAAATAAATATTTATTACATATAGGGGATAAGCAAACGTAATATAAAAAATCCTGAGAAATGACGATTCCACTTTAACAAAATAAAACCAACCCTTGAAAACTTTATAAGCTTTATAGGTTCAATGCCAAATGCAGTGATCTAGGAGGTTAATGGATAAACCCTACAACTACAAATTTAAACATATACATGTTTTTTGTTATATTAACTTTTCTGTGGTTTCCCTTATATTAAAGCATATATAGTTTAATGTTTTATATGCTCCTGGGATTACACTTTTTCTCTACTGATTTGTACAATTTGATTTTCACTGATGAATTGGTTGAATTTAGGACAAATTTACTTACGTTACCATGGTCAATAGAAAGTAATCAATTACAAGAAAAATCTATTTTTGAAGCTTGACATCTCTATTTCCAAATATAGACATCACATTATAAAGCTTGGGTATTGTGCCTTTGTGATTAATGATTTCTACTTGACCTGTCATTGATTAGTCTAAAAATGCTGATGCTAATCTTGGTTCACACCCTGCTGCTGAAAACCTTCAAAACATTGTCTTATTTTTTGTTTAAGTGTCACTAATGAACAAATCAGCATAGTGATAATGCTGCTCAATTTTCAAGAAAGTCCTGAAAATATGTACAGAACAGACAGAGGACATGGATTAAATCTATGGTATCAATAAAAAAAATATATATAGTTCTATAAAGAGGACTCAATACACTTCCATAAAAAGGATTTAGTTCCACAACATCTTAAGTCACTCACACACCTAAACATCAATGGTTCTGTTCATTAAGGCGGTACTGTTATCTTGTTTTCTTTTAGTTTCCTTTCTTTATGTCCTCTGTGTCTTAATGATTATGACCCCGTTGCCATTTGCATTTATTTATATTTATTATATTTTCTTCCTTGTGCAACCTCCATATCTGATAGTCAATGTGCAGGATGTCGGTAATTTGTCCTTCGGTAGGATTCTTTTCATTGATGGATTGTGGGTAAATTAGCTTAGTAACTGAAATGGAACCTTGCTTATGCGTCACCCATTGCCAAAGATCATGCTCTAAATAAGAAAAAGTATTTCCAACCTTAACTAATGTATATTTAAAAATATAAGGTGAATGGAGGGGGAAAAAACACAGGGTGATATAGAAGGATGAAAAAGAATTAATTTAAAAACAAAAAATGTAAAGTAATACTTAAAAATAAAGTTAGTTCCAATAAGTGAAGAACTTGCAATTTTTATATAAAAAAAATAGCCAAGTTAAGAATAAAAATCTCTATATCCAAAAAAACAGAGAGTAACTTATGATGAAACACATAGTAACATACAATATCTGTAATAATAATTATCAGTGTTGTAAGGGTGCCATTGAAATGTACTTACTATAGTATACTAGTATATATATATATATATAAAACAGACCTAGACCTCTTTTATTTATTTATTTATTTTATTGAAATTGGTTGGCATTTTGTGGCTATATTCAGTTGTATTGTATAATTATAGCTAGCTTTCCTCTTAGCATTTATTAAATAATATTTTTACAAAACACCACACTGTGTTTTAACAAATGCGTGTTGCATCCACATGAATGCGTTTTTGTTAAAGGAACACCATATCATTAGGTATACAAATATGCATACATATAACGCTATACTAGATTGAAAGCATGAGACCAAACAGTAAACATTTTCACACCCCTTCACCGTTACTTTAGAAATGAAACCCACCAAGTTACACATCGACCTAGAACTAAACACTCAAATACATCGAGCGGAGGGAACTTCTGACCCATGATCTTGTATAAATATGCTTTCAGAAATACTGTGCCTCCCCACCTCTCATAGGCGAATACTCGTAGAGTGAGGAATATAGCGCTCAAGGGAAGGATTCAATGTTATAAAGGGGTAAAATTGTATGAACCCTAAAGTAAGGGGAAGTTATCCATCTACACACACTCTTGGAATCGGAAATGGACCTGCGAGTCCCATCACTAAATGGGCCTGCGAACCGATATGCCTACAAATTATATGACTCTCACTTGAACTGCTTGTTGTTTATATTATTGACATATGATTGTTGTATAAATGTAAAGATCTGCAAATCCTACTGTATACTAGGAAAAATTGCAAATAAATAAAAAACATATTTCCCCCCCCAAAGAAAAAAACATATAACGCTATAGTGCCCTAGTCACTATTTAATTGACCTGGCCAGCAATGTCGGGATTAAAAAAGGTAGTCAGTCTTCTTGGTGAAGCTCTACCGGATTGGTGGAAATCAGTGAAATTGATTATCTCAATCCAGTACTTTCCCACAGGAAAGCATTGAGAGGCTAGTACACATGTGTGGCAAAAACCCACACGGCACCAATCAGCTGCTCTTCACAGAAGAGCCTCTACTGTTAACTTCACAGAAGAACCTCCACATGCTAACTTCTTTTAGAGGCAACAAAACCCTGTAATGAAAACATTGTTGTTCCTGCATAACAGGGTGAAAACTGGGGGGCACATTGCTCCCAGACCACTTTAACTCAAAGACGTGACCGGAGTGCTTATAATGTTCATTCAATATCATAACTGAGTTTCCATAACACATTCTGTACACATCATGCATTGACAACATTTATTCTGCACACAGTAAATGTTTCGTGTAATCAGACGACCCTCAAAGATGACTAATATGTGACAAACAAAACCCCTTAGATAATGTTTAAGTATAGGGCATATTTTTTGTTTTTTTTCAGTAAATCATATTAATCATTTCTTATTATCTGGAATCTGGAGTCAGTTCTATAGAATATGTATTTGGGGTCTGATCATTAAACTTAAAATGTAAGACAAAAGCCATCAACTTAGAAATTATAGACTGGAAATTGAATAGGAAAAGGTCTCCAGTCGAGCTGTTTTGACAACTTATTATTAGGTTATTTCAAACTAAAAATAATTTAACAAAAATGTATGCTCTCCCAGCTCCTACAGCTCAGCCCTTCTGCTGTAACTCTCTATTGCAGAAGTGAACTTTAGCCCATGCACCCTTAGGCAGTCATGAGCCTGAAAGCACTGGTAGCAATTTGACACAAAAATGATCTTTGCTGAGTGATCACATATCATTATTCAAGCATGTATATCTAAGTACCAGCTTCTAAATATTTTTTATTAAAAATTCCTCATTCCAAATGAGTTGAAAATTGTGACTTTTCAGTTTGTTTTTTAAAATGCGCAACAGATTTGACAAGCCAGACTTTTTATCGGCTTACCACTTTGTAGATTTTGTGACATTATAAATATATATGTTCACTACAGTACATAATTGGTGCCTAGAATCCTAAATGTGTGAAACATGAAGCATATTTTCCAATCTACTTAATTTATTTTGCTTTGACTTTGCTCTGTCATCCAGCTCTTCATATATGCATCACTGCCCTTCGTTTGCTTCAGGTAACATCATGATCTCTATCTTGCTTTTACCCAGAAACAGTGCACTACATTGAGCATTTGGTGCAAAATTGAAAGATTGAGAAAAATCTTCAAGGGCTTTCGAATTTAACATTTATTGTAATATAAAAAATGTGAATTGATAGACACGCACATATTCTACATCGGAATGGTTTACAGTGTTGTTATGGCTTTTCTGATCTGAAGGGAAAATATTTTTATTTAGATGCTTTTTTTTCTAGTTTCATAGGGAGAAAAGGATACCTTTGTTAGCAGATCTGCCATCAGGAAAGCACTGTACCGAGACATGCTAGACTAAAGCATTTCAAAGCACTGTATTTTTATTTAAGTGATGATGGTCTTCTAATTTGCTTGGCCTTAATGTTGTTGAAGAATAAATATATGATATTTAATATTTATATATTTGTTTTATTTATAAAAAAAATTGTAGTTACTAAAGAAACAAAACTATTGAAGAAAAGTGCTAAAATTGAAGAAATTACAATAGAAATGTTCTTGATATTTGTTCCACTGTTTATAGGTATGTCCTTGAAATTCTATTTACATGGATTCACAGTTTTCCAGCCATGCTCTCGAACAGTGTAAATATTTTTCATTGCTCTCTTCTATGGAAACAAACTTCCACAAGCACTTTGGCCAAGGTGTTTTTCATCTAAATGCAAAATATTAGTAAATTATGTATGTCATTGTATAAACATAGAAATGATAACAGTCTCAACTAACATGGGCGTCCGAAGGGGGGGGCAAGGGGGGGCACTTGCCCCCCCCTGGATTTTTCAGCTTGTTCTGCTATTTTGTGTGAGATTTAAAATCAACTGCAATACCGGCGCCGGCCAGTAGGTGGCGCTGTGTATGGAGAGAGACAGGGATAGGAAGCTGCATCTTATCCCTGCTTCTCTCTGCTGATTGAAACCGCAGGGGAGCAACACATGCAGCCAGAGACAGCCTACAGATCAGGTAAGTGGGGGATGGGGAGGAGGGTTTGAGAGGGGGGCAGCAGCCTATAGATTTGGGGGGGGGGTGGCAGCAGCAGATAGATTTGGGGGCAGCAGCCCATAGATTTAGGGGGGGCAGGCAGCAGCCCATAGATTTGTGGGGGGCAGGGCAGCAGCCCATAGATTTGGGGAGGGGGGCAGCAGCCCATAGATTTGGGGAGGGGGGCAGCAGCCCATAGATATATAGAAATGAACAGGAAGGGTCAGCAAGGAGCTGGAAGGTAAAGCAGCACAAAGGTAAAGTAGAAGGAGCAGAAAGGGTCAGAAATGAGCCAGAAGGGGCAGAAGGAGCACAAAGGTAAAGTAGGAGAATGAGCAGGAAGGGCCTGCAAGGAGCAGGAAGGAGCACAAAGGGACAGCAAGGAGGACAAAGGTAAAGGAGCAGAAAGAATCAGAAGGAGCACAAAGGTAAAGTAGGAGAAAGAGCAGAAAGGGACAGAAAGGAGCACAAAGGTAAAGTAGAAAAGGGAGCAGAAAGGGTCTGCAAGGAGCAGAAAGGGATCAGAATGAGAAAGGAGCAGAAGGGCGCTAAATAAGCAGAAAGTAGCAGAAAGGTAAAAGAGCAGAAGGGGCCAAGGATAGAAAACAGTGTCAGAAGAAAAAAAAAAAGACTGCCAAATGAAGGAGATTGGAGCAGGAAGGACAAATGAAGTAAACCCTCCACTTTATTCTGGACACCACATCATAAGGCTTTGGTACCTGGGCCAGGCAGGGAAACGCTGGACCTTCTCATCTCCAAAGGTAAAAAAATATCAGTATTAATGTGTTCACTTTTATTTACTGAGTGTCAGGAAGCACAGAGTGCCGTTGGCTTGCTGATTGGCTACAGCGGTCAGCTGGCACTCTAAGCTAATCAGTAGCTCCCCATTCATAAAAAAGTAAAAATATTTTATGAACCGGGAACTAGCGATTGGCTTAGAGCGTCAACTGTCCACTCTAGTCAATCAGCGGCACCCATGCCTGACGTCAATCTACACTTCTTGACACTCTGTTTCAGAAGCCAAATACCACTGAGCGACCTGGAGCTGGAGGAAGCCTTTGGGTTAAACCATTTGAGAGCGATTTAACCCCTTAAAGGAAAGCAAGCACCCAGGGGCTATCTGGCATCATAGCATTTTCATTTAGGTGAAGTTGTTATGGTGACCAGAAATGTCCTTTAATTTGCTTAAAGGCACACTATAGTGTCAGGAATACAAACATATATTCCTGACACCATAGTTGTGAAAACGCTAGTCACCCTGGCTTTATGTGATAATGGCTATGCCCCTTCCCTTTCATGACACCGTCAAAAAGGTACCAAGCATGGATGTCATTACAATTATGCCCCCCCCTGGAAAAATTCCTGCGGACGCCCATGATTCCAATATTCTATTTTTTTTCTAGTAAAGCCAAATGCTAATACATGTGTCAAAATCACAATTACCAAGTCATAATTACCTATAGTGTAATATTAGTATCATTAACATGTTTATGCTATATGCATAAGAAGACAAACTACAATATGTATCACATGCCCCAAACCAAATACAACCAAAAGAAAATACTAAGCAAAATATATTGTACATATTTATTATTTTTAACATCATTCAATTTGTCTCAGGCACATCAGATGTTTATTTTAAGGCTACAGGTCACTTTATCCATTGATTCCGGTGAAATTGAGTCGCTTTGCTTGTGATACGGTCACTTAGCTTTCTTTTTCTAAAATGAAAACAAAATCATGTCACATAAGATTATCATCACAGTGAAATAACACATTCTATATACCAATAACAGAGAGTAGAGAAGAATTACACACTATTGATTAAATCTACTTACATTCTATTCTGATTTTGATAGCTATATGTCTTTGTGGACCCATTTTTTATTTTAGCATTTTGTTCCATCTATCAATTCACTCCCCTTTTAGTGTGCAATCAATTGTATTTCTACCTGAAAGTGAATAATTAAGGAAGTGCATCCTTGAATTTAAAAAAAGTGAAATCATGGTTATGGTCTTAAATATAGTTAATTTTTACTTAAAGAAAAACTAAATAATGGAATTACTCTCTGGAATTCTCTCACAATATGTGTGTCAAGACTGATAATGTCCCAAATTGTCATCCATCTTGGCTTTGACCTTACCTTGTCTACTGCTACATTTGTAATCGCAGCCGGTTCCCTTATTTACCACTAGAACGTCTTAAAGCATAGAACTTACTAGGGCTAACCATACAGATATCTTAGCCATAATATTATATAGTTAGTAAGAGATCCTCTATCTAAAATACATATAAATAATTGAGAATACAAAATAAAATAAGGATTGTCTTGGAAGCAACAAAGTTTTGTCTTTGTAGATATTTTAATAAATATAAATATAAATATAGACATATAAAACCCATTAAGCGAAGACAAAATGGCGTAAGTTAGAACTACGCAGCATATTATGCACTGAAAGTAGGTAAGAGGTTATTGCTATTACGTAGCATAGCCTTGAAGTTTGCAATATCTTAAAGACAAAGTACACTGTTTAAAAATACAACTTTGCATTCTAAAATTTGTAATACTTGCATTTGCCCAAAACACATCATACCTCCCAAAATGTGCCTATGTCGGAGAGATATTCCCTATTTTGGGTCTAAATCCTTCTGTTCCTCTTTTCTGTCCTAATGTCCCTCTTTTCTAGGAGCTCCACATTGTTGGTGTGTATGAGTGTATAACAGCGCTACAGCAATAATGCAGTAATGTGTCTTAAAACTGCCAAAAATGTGTTTAGAAATCAGTTCGTGTAAATGAGATACATTGTTTTTATTCTAAATAAACCTATTTTAGGTTCTATGTCACCTAAAATTTCTCAGAACAGCACCACCCCAGGCCACACACCCACTCACACCTTTAATATTAAAGTTTCTTTGTGGATTTGAAATATTGGAAGGTATGGCTAAATTAATGTAAACTGCTGGCTTGCAGAGAATTCTGGTAAATTCACAGCTATTTTATTATCGCGCAGGTAAATTCAACAAACAAAAACATAATGGGAGCTCTAGTTCAACAACAGCTGGGGGGCTACCTGTTTACAGATGCTAGCACAAGTATTCTCAAAATGTGGTTTATGTCGATACTCACGCTCACAGCGCTGAGTGATCCTTTAGTAACAAGACTTTGTCTTTTCTGTTGATAGATACAGTCGCTGTCACATATACCATTACAGCACTTTAGACCCAATGGACAGTCATGATTGCCTTGACAGGGGTTTCCTGATTTTAGGAGAAAAAATATATATATATACATACAGTGAAATGCAGAAACAGATCATTGTTACCAGGAAGTCATATAACATGCCACTTTAAATGTTGCCATCATATATTTGGTTATAGGTATCAATGTAGAGTTAACATGTTGTAGTTGTGTACACAGAGAATTATTTACAATTAAACTTACACATGACTATTCTGTTGATATGCCTTTAAGACCTAGATTAATGGTTCTAAACCCTGGAACAGGAGACAAAATAGGGTTCCCATGATGATTTAAATGCCTTCCTACTGGCTGGATCAAGCACATTTTTATTTAAATGAAACTTGTGTCATCGAGGTACCGCCATGTATAATAATTAGGGTCACGGTAAATAGAGCTAGGAATTAATAACTTGGGATATTGAAGCAGGTAATTCTACATATCAGTACAACATGTGTCAATTTCTCTTTATTTTAGTTTTTATAACTTTTGTTTTGCCATAAATATAATCTATTATCAATCATAGTACATTATGAAGAGTTTGACTCACTAAAATACGGTGGAACACACTCCATGCCACATCTCGTCTTACAGCATTTCAGGCTGCCATCACAATGACTGTCTATGGTGCAGCTCGTCGTGGTGCAATTTTCGATTCCCTCACATAGGTCTGGGCATGGAGGGGGTTCATTGTCATGATGTGGGGATTCCGGGCTGCAATTGCCTGGCTTTGGAACCTCATCTGTATTGAAGGGAAAATAATTACTGAAATTGAAAAAACCAAACAATGCATGGACGAACTACAAGAAATAATATGAAATAAAAAATAAAAAAAAGTGGTTGATGTGAGAGGCACATTTTTGTATGACTATTAGCAGTCTTATGCAAAAAAAGTTTTATAGCGAATCTTGTTTTAAAGTATGTGCACCTGGTATTACATTTAATCCACAATCGTTAGACCAGGGATGGCCAATAGGGACATCCCCAGCTTCAACTTTTGATGGCTGGCTAAATATTGTTGGATAGGTATATTTGCAACATCTGGGAATCTACCATATAGCCCCAACTGCAATAGACTTTTGTCCCAACTAATTTCCTAATAAATATGAAAGAAAACTATGGTTTGCAAGGGTCACACATTCACACGGCACTGCTTTACCAATAGCCTTTATAAAGATGGAAACTAATTATATTTTTACCCACCATAGAATGACATTACATATCTGATTAGTCATAGTATGGTGTGGAAATAAGGTGGTAGATGAGAGGGATAAAAGGTACATAGCTGATCTAAAAGAGGAGTAGGCAACTTTCAGCACCCCAGATAAGGTGTACTATATCTCCCCTGTGCTTTTATCACATTATCAGCAGTGACAAATAATGATGATCCCCTATCTAGGATATAATGAGTATGATATCAAGTGATATCAAAATGTATTGATTGGTCAGCACACATTACATCATCCCCAAACAAATTTCCTATAAAAATTACAAAAAAAAGGCCACCACTCAGCCTGAGGTTCTTTCAACCATTAAGATCTCATATCAGTCCATGTTTTTTAATAATGGCATCATCGTCATCATTAAGCCGCATAGTTCTCTAGGCCTCCAGTCAAGCTAATTCACTGCCATGTAATACTTTATAATGAAATGCTTCTTATATAGTTAGTGAGAAGCACCTCAAGTAAAGAAATACATATTTAGCAACAATGGTTTCTCTTGATTCCTTAGAATCTAGAGCAAAGTCACACATACACACACACGCATATATATATATATATATATATATATATATATAACATTTGTTAACACACTTAAAATATTGGATTTTTATTAGTGGCCAATAAAAAGATTTGTAAAAGCAAAAACTTAGATTTATTCTGAAAGCAGAAAGAAGCCATCATTAAATCATATGAGGCATTCATTAGCATTAGCATTTTATAAGGATTTATAGTAAAATATATTGATCTTCCTTTTCCTACAGGGCACTGCAATTATGGAACGACCTCCCGCACACTTTTAAATCTTACCCAGGCCCAAAGTCCTTTAAGAGATCCCTCTCTAAATATCTCAAAACAGAATGCACGTGTTATGGTTGATTATCTATTTCCTACCTGTTCTATGTTAAATTTTGTATATATTGTGTATTAATATTGTTTGGGGGGCAGAGCTAGCGGTGCAACACAGCGGTCGCCATTTACAGCGGCTCCGATATACCAGAGCAAAAAACTAGCAATACACCTACAGCCCATCGGCTAAAAAGAACTGCATGTGCACACTCCGGACACCCAGCGGATACCGCAGATGCCTTTTTTCCAAACACCGGGCACGAAACACCGCACCAAGGGACCTGGGGCCTACCGCACACGCGACCAACACCTAGCCAGGGAGCTGACATCATGGCTCAGGGTGAGCTCGCAATACACAGAAACTGACTTCTACACCCCAGAAGAAATAGGACAGAGATCCCACAAACCAAATCCGAGCGCTCCCAAGCCACACCGGGAAATAGGCAGCATGCTGCAATCCCCTCCGCCTGCACGGACCAGAGCCGCCAAGGTGGTCTCACCTGAGAGGTCCGAGGACGGGGACTCCACACATAGCATGGCTATGACAGACGCAGGAAGCGCACTCATACACACCGCTAATGACTCAGCACCGGCAACAAAGCAGGACATTCAGACCATGCTGGCTGGTCTTCAATGGAATTTACAGCACATGTGGCAAGCTGACCTGAAGGGGCTGGCGGCAGAGGTACAAGCAGTATCGGCCCGAACCCAGGCCGCGGAAAAAGAGGTGAGAGACCTACGCCAAGACCTCACTTAAAGACACAGTCACCCAAATGCAAACTGCACAAGCAAACACCATCAGACAAGTCGCCATACTAGACGACAGGGGTAGGAAAAAGAACATCAAAATCAGGGGGGTATCAGAAGTGGTACCACTGGACGAGCTGCCACACTTTATAAGGCGCTTGGTGGCCGCACTCCTCCCCACCAGACATTGCCAAACCACAGCAGGCACCAAAGGCAGCTCCACGTGACATCATCTTAAGATGCCAATCCCTAAGATAGCCCTAATGACAGCCAATAAAGAGAAAACACTACACGACTTTGAAACACACCGAATCACCTTCTTCCAGGACCTGAGTAGAGACACTCTCTTATGGCGCAAGAGCATACAGCCCATCACAACCAACCTGCAAGCAGCGGGCCTCACGTACAAGTGGGCAACCCCCAGGACATTATGGGTGACTAAAGGCAACAAACACTACAAGATCTCCAACTGGGGAATGGTCCGGCCCTGCTGACCACCCTGGGATTGTTCAACTACACCATGGAACCAGCCACCACGCTCACGGGACCCGCAACCTGAAACCTGCATTGGCCACATTGCTAGCCGATTGTTATTTTTATTCGCTGTTTGTTTTGCTTTGTTTTGCTTTTTTGATGACAAGCTAAGTCACTCACAACCTGTTATCATTGACCCCAACCTTACTGGTTAGAACTAATTACACAGTCCTGTGATGGTAAGGTGGTTGCCCAGCGCCCAGACATCTCAAGCCACGCAAGGAACTAAGCAACCACTGAGGCCATATCCTGTGCCAGTGCCCCAACACCGCCTAAGAGTCCCACTGGGATGACACTAGACATACATATCACACTCACCACTGGCACAGTCAGATCCCCCGTTAAAACTACAATGGTAATATAAAATGTGCACAGCTCAACTCGGCCCAATCTATGAGACAAACGAAATGTGAATGTACCTCATGCATATGCTGTTGTGGCACCCTTACTTATGTCTGTACCGCTGAAATTGCACCAAAAATAAAGAATTAAAAAATGAAAAATATTGTTTTTGTATTTTATTGTACCCTATCAGATCAATGCAATGTTTTGTGTACCCAGGACATACTTGAAAACAAGAGAAATCACAATGTATCTTTCCTGGTAAAATATTTTATAAATAAATAGTAAAATATATAATAGATGTATAAGGAATTGGGAGAACTAGCATTTTCTTTTCTTTCTTTTTTTATTTTATTCTCTTTAGTTTTGGCTGTTGTTTTAAACTAAAGTGAGTATTTTGGGGAATTCATGGTGAATTTTTTAATTTAAGGCCAAAGTAGCCAAACTGGTAGCCTAAGTGGCTTTGATTATTTTTCCAGTTTGGTAACTTTGACCTTGAAATTCACTTTGAATACAGTTTGAATTCCTGACACTTTACCTTTTAGTGAATAACCCTGAAAATATCAAGATGTTCAGCAGTGATGTTCTAATGTTTCTGCCACTTTTAAAAACCAAAGCAAATGTATTTGTTCAAATACTCCAAAATAAACTAATATCACTAATCACTAGCAAAATAAATCCTATCAATACTGCTTCTCCTATATTAATAGACTGAGGTTAACTGCGGTTTAGTGGCAAAATAAATAAACAGTTTGAGGTCCTAGTATACAGAATCTCAGGGCCATGTCTTGTAATTTCCATCCATAATACTAATTTCACAATGGCAAATCAAACAATTGCTGTACATGCAATATACACAGAAAAAGCAGGAAGATCAGGGCTGTTTGCAATAATTCTTGAAGCAATGTTCATTTTATGATATAGTTTTCTGATTTCGTTTTAAAACTTTGATCGTATTTTACCTGGTTCCTCAGTATATAGAACTTACCCTTATTGGATTCCCCCACGTCCTGAGAGAAACATGTGGCTGTGCACCTTAGGACAAGCAGCAGAACAAGCACTGGGAACTGACCCATGAGATCTAGAGAGGTCGAAACTAACCAATCTTGCAAGACTGACAAATGTCCTTGTCTGTCCTTGCTTTTAATGTCGCAGCTATATATGCCTTAGAATTGAATAGGATTGTCTAGGTATTAATACAGGGAATATTAAGTTAACAGGATGCCCTAGTTTGGATTGAGTATTATTTGACAGATTCTCTTTGTAAAAATAGCCTCTAGTTATGTTTCTGGTAGACTCCCTTTTTTCACATTCTGTATTATGTTCCTGCACTGGTTTTCAACAATGTCTGAGAGATACTTTGGAATTGATCACATGATACTTTGCTGACTGATGAACAATAAGACCATACATTAGGGAGTAGGATCTATTACACTTTCCACTTCAACAGGTGTTTTTTGTTTTTCTGAATTCTTTATTTTGAAGGTGGTATCATAGCAATACAACACGGAAAGCCACGTGTACAACACTTTTTCTGCTTAACAAGAAATCACAAAAGTCCAACATAACATAATATTAGAAATTCGGAATAGATAAAGAACAAATATCAATATGCGATCAAGTTAGGGAATAAACCTCTCTCACGTCAGGGCACCCACATCTTTTCTCCTCCACTCAGCAGTTAGCAATAAGCAACCCCATACAAATTAGGTGTATTTCCCAGTTGGGAGGGGAATCAGTTAGGCAACTTCTACAGGTGTTTTAAGAAAAAAAATAAAAAGTAAAAAAGTAATAAACGCATGAAAGAAAAGTGAACAGCACACTTTGTGGAGATAAACAGTGAATAAGTGACCCACTGTATGAATTAACAGTGAAACATGAGACAGCAAATATGTTACAGATGGTGTAATTAAACAGTGAACGGTGGTACAAAAAATATGTAAAAATCTATCTACCATATCAGAATATCCATGAGATGTTACTATAAAAAATATATAAAATACTCTCTTAGGGCAATACCGTTTGTACACAGGTTATCTATACAAGTATAAATATACCTTAGATGATATCACACTCACATATCCTTGAGTCTGTATTTTACTGGCTCAGTACATCAGCATGAGTGTGATATAGGGGTCTTGAAATGGAGCTTGTTGTAGACAGATCTTTCAAGATAAATAAAATAAAGACACCAGCAATTAGAATAAAATAGTAAAATGTATTACAGATTAAACATTAAGTTCTTACATGTAAGTCAAGTGCCCCAGTTTTCATCCCACCAAGCAGTGTGCACAACATGTTTTTAGGCGTAACCGTCTTCCTTAGTTGCATGGATTGATGGTACAGAATCCCAGTTTACAAATGCCGATCATTGTGCCTTTTTTCGTCTTAGCCACACAACCTATTGCCATATTTATCTTTGATAAATAAAGTTATTCAGGAGTCCAATCTGGCTTTTAAACATTTGTCTTTAAATTAGCGCAAATCAAATGGGCTCAGATCATGCTTTGGCTATACCCGTTGGTAGAATTATGGCGATAGACACATTTCCATACAGGAAATAGATAATATCTTTCAATGTTGGTCCCCACATAGCAATTTTATAAGTGGGAAAAGTATATGCACTCTTACTGTTAAAGTGAAAGTTTTGTTTTTAAAATGTTGATAATAAAATGTTGCATTTTAAAAATAAAGCATGATAAATAGCTGTAAATGTACCACGGCATCCATCTGGCTGAGCTTTACAGTCACCTGAACTTTAAACGCAATCACAAGAAATACTAACCTATGGACGCCATTTAAAACAACTCTGTGTATATCTTGCACGTTTACAAACACTAAAACACAATTTCAATAATACCCAAATAACAGTCAACATGTAAAACTCACCATTTTGAGTTGTAAATACATACCCCTACCTTGTCTGTCTATTCCACTTGGAAGAAGGCAAAATCTGGTAGAGATAAGATGCAATAGTTTTGTATTTTTATTTATTCATGTAAAAATTTAAAGCATCTGGCTTTATGCTAAAATTTAAGATATGATGCTCCATCAAATGTATTCTCATATCCCAGATATCATTGCTTGAGAGATGATCTTATTTTTAAAGAGGCCATTACATTTGCACTTAAACATTTTTTTACCATATTATAATTATAATGTAATATAATATTTATGGTAGACGAGAGAGATTATATATATTTATACTTTCCCTGCACGGCAATACATTTTATACACAGCCCATCGAGAGGTGACAGTGGTATGGTCCATGTAAACATGTTTCATTTTGGCATAATTACATATATAACTAATTGGTACTAATCTAATTTCTCTCATTTCTGTTCCTCTTTTCCAGGCGCTCCATATAGTTGATGTGTTTGGGTTTATTAAAAAAAAAAAATGAAATGAATTTGTGAGGTAAATGATTGTTATAAAATAAATCAGTTCTGCTGTCGCCCTGTGTAGGTCACTCGGCAAAACACACACAATGAGTAAAAACAATGAAACAAACTGTAAGGGTGAGAGCACAAAAAACACAATACATGCAAATTAACCACAACTTAGCAATAGATATACCTAGAAACTTGAGAATAAACAGACCATAGTGTAGTAATTACAGTGCCACATTAAGAAATTACAAAATAAATGGTCCCACTCACGTGATGCTGAGCCCCTAACAAGCAGACTCTGACTTTCAGTGCATTTAAGATGGAAATATCAGTGGAATCTCTTGAGATCAAGTGCTGGATATTCAGCTGGACGTTAAAAGACTCTCCTCTCAAACTCCACATAAATACATAAAAAAATACAATGAATGTGTTTGGAAATCAGTCTGTGTAAATAAGATACATTTTTCTTATATTAAATAACGTACTAGTTGTATAAATTATTAGTCATCTAAAATTCTCCAAACGGCCCTGCCCATGGCCAACACACCCCACTCACACACCCTAATATCCCTAAAAGAAAGTGTCCCTCTTTGTCTATTTGAAATGTTAGGAGGTATATTATTTTACAAAAGTCTTGTGACTTGTGTCAAGGTTAGCCATTACTGCACAAATGTAAGGATATTTGAAGCATTAAATCTGGTAACATGTGCTGGTTCTCTTTTATAGAGAGAACAGTATAAATCATTGTTTAGTAGGTATGCCACCAATGAATACATGCATGCATTTTTCATGCATATATTCAATCCATTGGGGTATATATTAAAAGACCTTACAAAAACTGCAGTTTTATGATCTCCAGTCTTTGCAAGCCCTCCCCTTTTTTCCCAGGGGGGAAATCAATCAAATGTACTTGTGAGGTCTGGATGATCGGAGGATGCTGACTAGAGGTATGAGGGGCAGGAGGCATGCACGCTCTACTTGAGCACACCGGTCACTTTCCTTAGTTCAGGGGAGTTAACTAAAAGAGGCAGAAAACCTCTGTCTCCTTTTGATTGACAGCTGGGGGAGTTTCCATAATTTATTTTTAAAAGTACCAATTTCTAAATTTATAAATAGGTGTTAAAATATGATACTCCTCACCCAAAATGCACTTCAACAAGTTGGACTGTTTTGGGGACATTCCGTGGTCCTTTAAGGCTAGGAATGAATCTGCAGGATAACAAGTGCAACTCTTGCCCAACTTAATCTGTTAGTAACCCTCCTAGATCATGGACTGTTTCTCACCGTAAATGGTCATTCACCAGGGAATGGCAAATTTCACACCAAAGTATCTGAACTGGAGAGTTGTTTACCAAACATGCTTCCAAGAGTCTTTTTATCCTATGCAAACCTTTCATAACAGATCACTTGGCATTATTATATAAAAGATGTTTTGTAACCCCTTTTCTGAAACAAGTTTAAAACTATAAATGTCCAGTTACTGCCTGCATTGTACATGAATCCCTCAGTAACAATAAACAAATTACACTATATTCAGATTCCATGCTTTACAAGCTATACTTGGTAAAGTTACAAACAATCATTTTTGGTTTGTGTGTGTGTTTGGTTTTATTAAAAAAAACAAAAAACACCAATATATACTTTTAAGAACTCCTGATAAATGCAAAGGCATAGTACCTCTTGCATCCTATCTTTTCACCATAGATCACTCAGAGGAATACATTTACATAAAACACAGAGCTAGCTCCACCTGATTTGTGTTAACATCTCTTCTTGAATTAATGCACTGATTGTTCTAATTGGAGGATATATGGAATGCTTTGGACTGGATTGTGGGAATGAATCCCTTATACAGAAATTGCTACTTAATGATAAGCATATCCCAGATCATGGAATGAAACCCCTGTGTTTTGAAGGTATCCCGATAACGCTTTCAAAACCTGACGTAGTCTAATGGGATGATTGGCATGTGATTATAAAGCTTTTTAAGCAGCCCTGGGAAAAAAAAAAAAATAATTAAAATACTGGTTTTGCAAGACCCACAAAACAATGTCTAATATATTACTGACAGTTCTTTTAACAATTAGCCTGGTTTTCTTTTCGGCAGGTAATGAAGATGGTGAGTAATGAATGTAGCCGTCTCTTGTTACTCATAAGTTGTTTTTTGATGCATATTTCTGTCTGTGGGTTAATATTGTTTAATTCATTGCAAGTCCTCAAAGCGGCTGTTCAGTTTATAAACTAGTGTTTAACTACTGATTATTTATTTTTTACATGCTGGCTTACAGACTATATGGTTTATCTTTACTTCTGAGAGATGCAGTCATTGCAAGCCTCACATTGTACTGTCTAGCAAAGCCTAGAAAATGTATACACAAATCAGCAATATCCCATAACCTTTAAATATTGTGATATAATTAATCATTCTTTAAGTGCACGTCTCTTCAGGGTTTATTTTGGTTCTGCTTAAATGAACATTGCAAGCACCATAACTACTATAGCTTGCTGAAGTGGTTGTGGTGCTAGGGTAAGCAAACAAAGCGCTTCCACTGAATGAAATCCTAACAGTGTTCTCACTGGGTGAGTGTTGGATAAGAGATCTCAGCCAATGAGTACCTCCTCCTAAATGGTTTGACCATAGTGGTTATGGTGCTTAGATTGTTCCTTAAAGGGACACTACAGGTACTCAGACCACTTTGGCTCATTGAAGCAGTTTGGGTGCAGGATCCCTATCGCACTTCGTGCTGCAATGTTAATCATTGCTGTTCCAGAGAAATTGCAATGTTTACACTGCAGCACTAAGTCTGCCCCAGTGGCTGTCTCCGAGACAAAACGCACATTTTTGTTTGTCTGGTAACTGATGCTGAATGTCTTATCGTATCCCTTTAATCCAGCTTTGAGACTTTTTAGTGTGCATGTAAAGTTGGCAGGGACACATGTCAACGCACAAAAACTACTTTACTGCCTAATGTAGACTTAATATGCCACAGTTCATGTGTTTATCATGAAGGAATCTAGGAAAATGTAATTGAATTGGTAGATTCATGTTGCAGTGGCTTTTTTTGGGGGGGGGGGTTTTTTGTTTTTTTTTTGTTTTGTTTTTGTTTTTTCTTGATGAATCATCCAGGTTGGTCCATACAGTATATTAACCAGATACAGGACTGTTGATAAGACTTGTGGTATAGTGTCTTCTGTATCTACACTTGGGGGGAAATAGACTATGAAGGGTTTATAAATTTCCTAATCCAGAACATCTACTATAGTTTTACCATGTTAAAGGTAATGTCTTACACCATTCTGTTAAACTTTTGTTCTCAGGTCCAATGGTAGAAAGCCAGCGTGTGTTGGATGCAATTGAAGAGATCGGGGAAGTTGCCAAAAAACTGATGGATCCTGAGATGCAAAAGGTCTATTTCATGATTTTGGATAAAATAAAGACCAAAATCAGAGCATCCCCTCTGGATCAAGTTCAGCTGTCTCATGCACATGATCTTCTGGACACTATCACCCGGAACCTTAGAGGTGGAAAAATTAGAACGGATCACATCCGATATTTTCTGTATTTCGCGCAATCTGACAAACTGGATAGACTGCTTGCTACATGGGACCAACAGCTCCTGAAGAGAACGTAATGTCAGACACTTTGTAAACTCTTGAAGAGTGGTGTGTGGGTTTTTTGTTTTTTGTTTTTTTATTCCCCCTCCCTACATCCTAAATGATTTTAATCATGAGACAAATGAAAGGACTTCTTTAAACTCTTAAATGTGAGTTAATTGTTTCCTGAATATACATCCAATGTTCTACTTATACATTTGAATAGATTCTGAGCTGCTCCCATTTTAATGTGTGCTAACTTTATTTTTTTTTTAAATAAAATTGCATTAAAACCTTGCAACTGGTGGAATTTTTTATTTTTATTTTTATTTTTTTTTCTCTTAAATATACTTTTCTAAACTGCTTTGTTCTGCAGTGCCTTTTGCTTGCTTGGAAAATCTGCAATTTATAGCTGCATGATTTTGATTACAGGAAAGTAGAATATAAAGTATTGATCATATTTGGGCTTTAGTGTCTCATTGAAGTTACAGTAGACTAGCCTGAGTAAAATTGCCATCATGCACACTTTAGAAAAACACTTTTACTTTATGGCTAGTTTAAATAGTGAAAAATTTAACTTATGTAAAAGTGACATTGGGATACAGAGTTCCCAGTAGATTTGTTTAAAAGACTGGCTCTCATACCCAAAATGCGCAATTGTATATTGCTAATAAACACTGTTCAAGGCTCTGGGCTAGAGTCTAACTACTGTTTATAAAGCACCAACAAATGCCGCAGTGCTGTGCAATGGGAGGACTAACAGACAAGTATTTGCAAAAAAGCAAGTTGTATGCACAGGCACACAGGATGTTGAGGGCCCTGCTCAAATGAGCTTATAATCTAGAGCGTGTAGTAAAGTGGCACAAGAGGTAAGGGTAGGATGTATTTCATGTACAGGGGGATAAAGTAGGTTCCTTGACTAGTTTTAAATGAATGTTCTTGTTTTGGGGTTTTTTTGTTTTGTTTGACTGTTGCAGGAGAGTAAGCAGTGTATGTTACCAAGGTGCAGGGAGGGGAAGCTACTAACAATTTAATCTGCTTTCTTGAAGTGAGGTTTTAATTTTTTTAAATTTTTTTTTTTTTTGAAGAGGCTGGGTGAGTCTCTAACAGAGTAGGGAAGGCCGTTCCACAGGATGGTGTAGCGCTAAAGTCTTGAAGGTGGGAGTCAAAGGTGAGTACAAACCGTAACTAGATGCAGATCTTTGTTACAGGGCATACTTGTGTACTAATGAGGATAGGTAGGAGCAATGTTCTGTAGAGATTTATGTGCAGGCACCAGAATCTTAAATTGAGCCTGCATCTTACAGGAAGCCAGTGTGAAGCCTCACAGGGGGAGGAAGCTTGGTAGGTTTGATCAGACTGGAGGAGGAGGCTTGCCACCAAATTCATTGTAGACCAAATCGGGGCCAGTTAGACACACTTAAGACCATTGAGATGCAGATTGGTCTAGGTGAGTGATAGCAACATGAACCAGCACCTTGGCTGCATCAGGTGTTGAGGGTGGGTATCGCTATGTTTTTTGACATGAAAGTGGCAGGATTTGGTATGTGAGTGACCAAATCCTCCCCCCACACAGTGAGTCTAGAAGAGGGCAAGAGATCAGGAAAGGACAGATATGCGTGAAGTGGTGTTGGAAGTCAATATTGCTGATGAGTTTACCAAGGGAGGCAATATAGATCGAGAACTGTAAGGGACTAAAGACAGAACCTTGAACATAGAGAGGGGATGAGGAGAAAAGTAAGGAAAAATAAACATTGAAAGAGTGCTGGGAGAGGTATACGGAGAACTTGGAAATGGTCTAAGATTGAGAATGAGCAGAAATTGTAGATCAACCATGTCAAAAGTAGTAGAAAGCTCAAGGAGAACTAGGAGATAGTAGTGACCACTGGATTTAGGAGCAATGAAATCATTGGATATTTTGGTAGGCATAAAACAGAGGAGAGTGCAAAGTTGGGAGAAGTATTGGCAAGTGTAGGAGAGAGATTAGAAATCTTTTCAGTGAAGTGAGTTGCGAAGTTTATAGGAGGAGCAGAAACAGGGTGAACAAGTTGTGAAAGTCATTTGGGTTCTCGGGAGCACGTGGTTATGAGGGTGTTAAAGTAATTTTGTTTTGCTGAGGAAAGAGCCAAACTGTATGAGCACTGTATAAATTTATAGTGGAGGAAGTTGGATGCAGAATGAGACTTTCTGCTGCAGAGTTCAGCAGTTCTGGAGCATTTTTGGAGGTAATGGGTCAGGATAGTGTGCCAGGGTTGTAACCGGGGTCTCTTACAATGTTTTAAATATAGTAGATGCCATCATATTTTTGAGGTGGTTAAAAGGAGTGTTTGTAGGTTTCCACAAGATTGATGTACTGAGGGTGGTATGATTTGGGTACAAAGGTCACCAGATGGTCAGATAGGGGAACAGGAACACTGGAGAGATTAGAGGTGAGGAAGAGATCAACCGTGTTTCCTGCTGTATGAGTTGTTGTTAGCCCATTGTATGAGACTGAAGGAGAAGGTTGCAGAGAGCAGTCGAGAGGCATCAGAGCTGTTGGGGTTGTTGACTGGGATATAAAAATCCCCAAGGATAAGTGGAGTGATAGAAAGTGGGGTGGCCAGAAAGAAAGGTGACCAGGGGGGTGATAAATGATGGCAATTCTTAAAGCAATGTGTTTAAATAAGCAGACAGTATAAACTTCGAAGGAAGATAAGGGCAGGGAAGATTGACTGAAGGGTACATTGAGGGGAGAGATGGATGCCTACACCACCTCCTTTACAGTTAAGTCTGGAAGTGTTGGAGAATTGTAGGTCACCAAACATAAAGAAGCAGGAGAAGTGATATCAGAGTGGGTCAGGCAGGTCCCAGTGAGTGCTAGTACGGTGAGAGATTATGAAATTCAGAGTTCGTGCAGAGCTGTAGATTTCAGATTGCTGCAGACAGAGTGGAGTTCCACAGTGAACATTGGTAAATAAGGAGAAATTACAAGGTACTGGGGTGACGTTCATGTGGTTTCTGGTAGGCTTAGTATGAGCAGAGGAGGTAAAGGGCCCTAAGGTCAGAGAGACATCAGCAGCTGACAGAAGTAGGAGGAGAGACAATGACAGGAGCTGAGAGTGGGTTTTGTATGGAAGGGGTCTAGGATGAGATTGCTTGGAAGTAGGAGAGCAAGAAGAGAGAAATGAGTGCAGAGCATGAGATGAGAAGAGGGTGTAGCAAAGACGGGGAAATGTAGAGGTTGTTGGGTGCTTGAGGGAAGTGAGGGCAAGGAGTGATTTTGATCATAAGGGAGGAGAATAAAAAGAGTACAAAGGAGTATAAGATGGAGCATTGCTCAGATACATTTGCAAACTATCAGAAAGGTTTGGAGATATGGGAGTAGATGACTAGTGGTGAGGAGAAGAGATGAGGTGGTGTACAATGTGTTCGGGAACAAAGAGTATATAGGATAGATTTGGAATATAAAAGTGTGTGTAGGGAGAATGGGGATGGATTGTAAAGAGTTAAGTAAATGTAGAACTGCGCTGATTAGTGTTTGCAACTGTCATTGCTTTGGGTTATTTAAACTGGCTGTGAAAATATTACCATGAAGACAGCAGTGTACCAGCTGAAAGTGTGTTATCAACCGTGAAGTACGTCTAGGAAAATAAGGTAGATTTTGTCACGTTAACTCTAAGGTAAACAAGCCTTAATATATTTTTTCCACTGTATCACGATGCCTGTAAGGTTTAAAAAGTTCAGCTCAGTTTGTGAGAGTCTGCCCCTCATATAACTCATTACAAACATTTAATCATATTCTAATATCCTTTTCAGACTGACAGGTTTACTTGCATGGAATACTGGCTTGTAGTTCCATGCTTTAAGAGGAGTAGTATACTTTCAATATCTAGGTTTTGTTTTTTTACCTGCATTCTGTGTAAATAATCTATAAATATAATTAGCTTTTATAAAGTGCCAAGTTATTCTGCAGCGATTTACAATATTATAATAGGGGAAATTTAACAATAAATGAGACAATTGTTACAGGAGCAATAGGTTAATAAGGACCCTGCTCAAACGAGCTTACAATAATCAACCCATACCTAAATTAAATTTATTTAGAATTATGGTTGCATATGAGATTGTTTGTACCACATCTTGGGGTACAACAGATGGGATTTAACCTACAAATGACCAACTGTAGAATAAAGTTCTAGAAGTAAATCAATTAATGAAACAGGGTCCACCTCGAAACGAGCATGCTGACAAGATATGTATTTTAATCATTCAAGTCTATTCAATGTTTTCTTTATTGCTTTATGTGAATGTGTGCTCTATTTAGGGTTATTAATTTTAAATTACGAATTGTCAAGAAATTAAATAAATTTTTAAATTCTATGCTAAAATATTCAAACTGAATAAGTAGCTGACTTGGAAATTTTTGGCCTTAAATTTGAAATCCACTTTAATTTCTGAGTATGTTACTGAATAATCCAGATGCTAACTGCATCTAGGTTACCATTCTCTCCCTGTTCCTCTAAAGACCAAAAAAAACAAAAACACTAAGGAGTAAATAAACGGTTACTCCGACCAAAAAGTATTCCAATAAAACATTGTCTTTAGTTAAAAAAAAAATATATATATAACACTTACTGACATGGTCTCCCCACTCCTCAGGGAATGAAATATAAATTGGATCTTGTGCAGAATCCAAGTTCATCCCGCAGCACGATCCGCCTCCACTGATGTCACCATGACCACTTTAAATCACTTAACTGGTCATGGTGCTTTATGTAAAAACTGCAAATTATTTGACTTTTTTATATACTGTGGTTAAAAGCTATAAAGTAGGAACGTCTCCCTTTCGCTAAAAATCATGTAAAATCGTGTTACCTGTTTCGTTTTACACTGCAAAATGAAATTTTGTCGGTTTCTGCATTGAGCTGAAGTTTATAAACTTTGCCAGCTTTCATTCTGGTCCTTATATGTGACTGCTGGAACACTTTAAATTGTAAGCACATATTTCCTCCCCTCAGACAGTAAGCATGTTAGAATTCATGCATTTTAACAATTAAGGACAATATCAGTTTATTAAAACATGTTCGTTTATAAGATATCTAAGCATCTTAAATATTTTTTTCTCAAAAAAAAAAATAAAATAAACTTTATCCCCCTTGCCCAGTATTCCTGCATTGGAAGAATTCATGTATCATAAATAGTACTTGTGTAACATTTTTGTAATTGTATTTTTTTTTTAATTAACATATCTATTCAGCAAAATGCTGTTTATCCAACATCTATTTGCTAGCATTGTCCCCCGTGTTCCAAATAAAAGACTGGCTAATATTTTTATAACAAAATGTGCTGGGTAGGCAAGTCAAAACCACTGAAAATTAATATACATATTGACGCCTACAAGAATACCCTGATGATCTCACACACACACAAATATACCAGTGGAAGATTCTTGTTGGATCTATCACAGAGGTCCAATTTGTATTATCTGATACTAGAATACAATGGCAATTATGTAAGTTTTCTTAAAATGTGAGGGTTCCAGGACCCATGAAGAAAAGATACCAGCAGTGGCAATCATGCATGTATTAATTAGTTTTTATATTTTTTTGTGTTATTTCTTCTGGAACACTGAGTATTTTTGTGTTATCAAGTCAGATTAAGATATTTCTTAAATGCTTTAATTCCAACCTACGCGAAAAAGCAACCTCTTTTATAATGCTTCTGTAGAAAGCAGTAGAATGTGGTATGAAAAGTAATAACTCAAATGTTACCAGTAAAGCTTAAAGGACAACTGTTACCTCAACACTATTTAATATTATCTTTCATCACGTTTTGAAAGGAAATAGATTTTTTTTAATATTAAGTATATGTAAATAAGTGAGACAAACTCACCCCTATCTTTAGTATATGACTGGAGGTTTCAGCCATATTCATGCACCTTGGGTCGGACAGTGTTTGGAAAACAACAGTTAGTCTCTATGGTCTTCCCTGCTAATGTGCAAAGACTGTCGTTTTTCAAACAGTGTCTGACCCAAGGTGCATATATATATGGCTGAAAGATCTGGTCATGTACTGAAGGTAAGGAAGAGTTTTAATATACTTTATTTTAAAAAGAAAAACAATCCTTTTATAATTCAATGAAAGGATAATTACATTAAAAATTGTTTTGAGGTGACAGTAGTCCTTTCGTCTTATTTTCATTTGGAGAAGGAGTTATAGTTTATTAATTGAGGTACTCCCAAGACGAGAGCAGATCTATTTCACCATGTATAGTAGCTAAACCTGCCAATTGACAATTGTGGTTTAACTCAGATGGACTATCATGATTTGAAAGGTTTTGAGTGAAGTAAATAACTGTTCTCAGAATCAATGGTAAAATTATGCATTTAAGTATTTTGCATCTCTGTGTAGACAATGTGCTAAATATATTGCAGTCACCGTAAAAAGTAATGGAATGCTTATACTGAGTGAGGGGTTGTGGGTTTTTTTTGTTTTTTTTAATAAACGTACTAAGAGATTGATCAAGGAAAAACATATGCAATTCTTGGGTAAATTGCTCAATCAAGAAAAATGACAATGGAAACCAAAAGAATCTCTGTAAACATTCTGAACTTTACATCAGAACCCCATCTGATTCGCATGATACATCTTTTCCATATTCCATTGCTATTTGCACATACAGTTTAAGATTGCGTATAGCAGCCCATCAGAGGTACAATTTTTATTCTAGGGCAGAGGTAGACAAGCTTCGGCACTCCAGATGTTGTGGACTAAATCTACCTTGATGCTTTGCAAGGGTTATGGCTGTATGAGCATTATGGTAGATGTAGTCCACAACATCTGGAGTGCGGAAGGTTGCCTAACCCTTATCAAGGGTTGTTGTACGTAATAGAAGTACAGTGTACACAACAAAATAGAGATTCTAAAGCAGGGCTTTGTTCTACATCATCTGATAGGATGATGCAGAGAAGTAAAATTGGGGGGAAATAACCCAAGTAGTTCTTTTATAGCCTATATTAGCTTGCTGGAAATCTATGTAGTCCTCTAAAGTCACTGTATTTCATCCACATTAAGCTATATTTACTTTGTGTTATTTTTCTCTTTGATGGCTTCAGTAAAGTAACGAGACACATATTTAACATAATGCTGAAGCTTTATTGGGCTACTATAGGGAGTTAATGTTAAAGTGATCAAGCAGAGAAAGAGTAAGCAGTACATTTTCAGGTGAGGGGGTTATCCATTTCTGGAATAAAAATTTCAGATCAGAGGAAGTGAATCATAAGAAACATTAGATTTTAACAGGTATAATATTTTAATAGGTTTGCCAATAATTATCAATGATACATTCTCACATTCCAGAGAAGCTTATCAGCGAGAATTCAGACGCCTGTATTGTTTTTTACCTCTAGCTCCATTTATTACTGAATTATTTTTTCTGAAACTGCGAATCTGTTGAGAAAAATAGTTTTTTCTTAAGGGTTGAAAGTTTGGATTGGGTTTCACAAATTGTAAAAGGTTTTTGCTCTCTGCCAATAACTCATTACTTTCACTACTGGATTTAGATTCTTGGTGTTGAGGGACATGTTTGGAATTTACATGTTTTGATTCCTCACTAAAAGATTTAGAGGAGGATTTAGAGGACGATTCAGAGGACGATTCAGAGGAAGATTTAGAGGACGATTCAGAGGAAGATTTAGAGGACTCTACTTCGTTATTGTTGCTTGGAGAGGTATCATTGACAATGGAAGAATATACATTTTCATCTCCTGCATTTTCTACAATGGCAGGCACTTCAGAATCTGTAGTGTTTTGTGCAATGTTATTGGAAATTTCTCGCTTTAAGGATGTCTGCTCAACGGAATGTGCTTTGTCTGAATCTTTAACAGGCTTGGCCTGTGCTTCCTGTGGATGCTGTGGAATGTTAGCTGTGGAAACACAATCTCAAATGAATATGAAATGCATATATAATTCAGACTTTGCTTTACTCTGCGACACATGGTATATTAATTGCCAAATGTATCATTATAATTGACAATTGTATATTTTTCCTATCTACTTAGCCCCTTAAGGACACATGACATGTGTGACATGTCTTGATTCCCTTTTATTCTGGAAGTTTGGTCCTTAAGGTGTTAAACAAGTTATTTATCACCATTTATTGTCTACACTTCTTCCCTTTGCCTTCGATTGGTCATTTGGAAAGTTGGTCAATGTGAGAATTTGACTATTTTTCTTGACAAACCAATTCCAGGGGATATTAACTTGACTCATAATTTATACCAACTTTTTTGGCATTCAAAGTAAGGGCTTACTGAAGATGTTCATTCATGTAAGCTTGAACAGTATTTTCTTACATAACCTATGCCTTGGTTGATTAAATGATTAAGGCAAAGTAGACATCTGTTTAGTAACATATTAAATGTGTCATAAGAGAATACCATTACATTTACAGAAAGTGGTGGAACGCTTTGAAATTATAATTTTTTCATACTATAATTAATATGCATTGTACACCACAAAAAATGTATCCTTGAAAACATCTTAAATCTTTGTCCTAAATGGAGAGTCACCTCCACAATGAATCTGTATTATTTAATGCAATTAAGCTAATGCCTACATTTAGCATCACACACCTTCTTCAAAACATTGTCATTACAATAAACTTATAGAACATATTTCATTCCATGTAATCCATGTTATGGTGTATCAGTTACAAAGTTATATAGTTTACATTCATATTTTTATGTGTTAAACTAAATAAGTAAATTATATACACAAGTATGTAGGTTCTACTTTATATTTACATATATATATATATATATATATATATACATAAATTAGCAGAAATCAGTTGTATTTTTTAGAGTGTAAGCACAATTATATCATGGTCCTATATACAAAAAGAAGGAACACTTAATCACTGTGCAAAGATACAAGGGTTAGTTATAAACTTTACACAGCAACTGTTCTTTAAATATATTCCCCACTATAAACCACTGCAATCATCAATGTAACGAATTTCCTATTTTAATGCAGGGATTACTTATCAAAACATAATTGGATAAATAACAAAAAATAAAGTAAAGAACTATCACAGTGATGCTAATTGGTAAAATATATCAAAATATAAAAAGAAAAGTAAATCTAATGCAACCTCAATTAAATGATTAATCATTCATTTTGCACTGGGTATGGGTAACCTGGGGACTTTGCAAGAGTAAGTGGTCCTTTCCTAATAACCGACTGAATTTTCAATTTCCATATTGAACGCATATGTATCTTATCGCACATATTGGAAGTTCTTTTCGAATGTCGAATGCTAAATTTTGGAAGTAGAGATTACTCTTCTTACATTTCATTAGCAAAGAGTCATATTGTGCTGGGGGGGGTTATAAACTGGGCATTATAAACTTGTTAAAGTAGTATCCTGCCTAATATATATAAATATATTATGTAAACGGTCATTCTAACATGATTATACTAAATATTAAACAAATACTCATATTCCACTGTACATATAAGCTGAGAACATATACATTTTTGAGCAAAAGAAAACGAAAAAATGGAAAACCTGTAACCTAACTAGTCGACTGTTGTAGATGTTCACTTACCTCCAGGAATATTGTTCCTAGCATGAGGGTTCGCCAGGGAAAATGTTTCTGGTTGAGAGTTTATTTTTAGATTATTTTTGTGAGGATTGGTATTGACTGATCCAGAATTGCTGAACTCTATACTTCTCTTAAATGAAGAAATTTCTTGAACCGGCTTCCCCGGGAATGAAAATGGGCGTGAGCCTGATACAAAGAAAGATATAACTTCTGATTAGATGCAAACCTAAATCTAGGAGATTAGGACAGAACAAATGTCTATTCCCCATTGTTAATCTGTCCAGTATGGATATTATAAGAGAAAGGACTGATAAATCCCTATACACCTTCATAGTATCCTTCGACAAATACTTCTATAAATTCTATGTTCACCTGCATGCATATCTATTTATTTAAGTAATTCCTTAATCACAATCGAGAGTGTGTCCTATGACTTCAGCTGATGTTCTATCTCTCCATGTATCTACTCTATATTCTCCACTGCTACATTGTCTCTACATTTTATTGTCTACAATACGTCTTCTCTAGTTTATTAAAATTCTGGTTTCACTCTATATGAAAAAAAAAAAAGGATTTAGATATAGCGCTAACTCAAAAGGTGGCAGCAAACCTGCCAGACGGATACCCTGACAATCTAACAGCATTTGGCAGGTAAACGAAGAGAGAGGCAGGTTGCGACAACAAGAACTATCTTTTGTGAATTTAAAATGATTTATTATTCATTTATTAAGTATCGAAAATTGTATAATCTATAAGTATATCTCTAAAAAAAATCTCAAAGGTTGGAAATTAAACTCACTAGCAGGATTATTTTATTAATTTTGTATCAATCTCTCAATTTAATGTACTACTTAAATATATTATACTTACTTATATTATATAATATATTATATTCATATCCATAAATTTTACAGCACTGCTTAATTTGTTGGAGTTTTTAATTAAGTATTCATAATTATAAGGTGTTCGATTGCAACTTTCCATGCTGAATTGTTCACTTTAGGATTAACTTTATTCTCAGTTTTTGATATAATAATTCAGCAGTATATTTTTACTAAGTCATGTTAGACATTTAGTATTCTTATATCTCTTTAATACAATTTGTATACAAGTATGATTAATTTAACCACATCCCCCCCCAAATTAGGATGCTTTAGTAAATGATGGCTCTACTTGGCTTCTCTCTTCAAATTTAACAGAGTTTTCTTATTTATCTTAAGATAAAAAGTTTAATCAAGAAAATAATAAATCAAACACAAGTAAAAGTGTGCTAGTAAATCTGATCACTTACCACGTTGGTTGGCAGATAAACAAACACCCACCAAGGTAAATACAATGATGGACTTCATCACTGCCATCATTTCTCACAAATGCGTTGTCATGTAGCAGATAGAGGTGGCTGCTACCTTTTAAGGGAAGAATGTAGCTCCTCCTTTGTAACTATAAATATTAAATGAAAGACAAGTGGGAGCTTTCTACGCAGTCTCAAATGGTCACAATTCTTTGGTTTTCCATGTATCACTTGTTTTCGTGACACTTTCTTATCTGAAGAATGACACAATGCTGATCACCGAGGTGATACAAAAGATGCATGACTGTGTTAAGTCAATGGTAAAAGTAGGTTGCAAAAATGCTGAAATGGAAAACAGACTTGGATTAATTGATCCTATTTAACGCGTTACACCCTTCTCTTCCTAATGTTGATGAAATTAGAAATTCTTACTTTGCACAGGCTTAGGTCTATATATGAAATCAATAATCATAACTTAATAACCAAAAATAAGAAAAGATACATGACAATCTTGGCGTAGTATATAAATTATAATGTGATCAGGGCTGCCCCCGAGACCTAAAAAAAAAGAAATGAGACTGAAATAATTAGAAAAGCAAAAATGTTGAAGTCGGGTTACCAAAGCAAATTACAAATATTATCTAAATCAACCTTGCAATTTATGAGGGCATGTTCTATCAGCAGAAAATAAACTAAAACAATTACTAAGATTTCTCTTTAGTGTTTTCGAACTCATTAGTAGTGGATTGTTTTTGGCATCATGTAATCATTTGCAGATACTACTGTGCAGGCTTTACTTTGTAAAAAGAATCCTTGACTATATTGCTGGTCTAAAAAAACATATTTTAATGTGTCCCAGATAAAGACATTGAAATATTTTCTGCATTTACCTAAAGTGGTTGGCTTATCTTCGCAGTACCAACCACATACAATATTTATTCTTAATGCATTAACTGCATTCGCTCACCTGCTGAACAACATCTCAGCCCAATTTCAGAGGCTGGCTGAAGATCATGGGGGTTATGGTCCAACAAGAACTTAAAAAAAAAAGTCTGATGTAATACCTCAAGGCAGCACAATCACTTTCCATGACACTCCCACCAAACAAAAGAGTTGATGAGAGATGCATGGAAGGACAAACAGTGACACAAATCTCTGTAAATATTTAAACATGCAAGACTTAGACAACTTGCACTTTTTTCCAAATGGAATTTTTGACACGTTTCACAATCCATTTTATTATATTGTTGTCTACTTTTTGTTGTTTCATTAATCAGCATCATACTTGTTTATGAAAACCTCCTCATTTGCTTGTGTCTAGTATCGCAGGTGTCTAATACGAAATATTTACTATCAGGCAATGATAATGGTATTTATGTTTTTTCAACATTTATTTGTATTCATTCACTTCACTTCAACCATGATATGTACTTCATATTTATAGATTTAAAACAAGGATTTATCAAGTTATTGCATATAAGGGACAGTAACAATTTGGGTTGCATTGATACATACAAGCATTACTGAAAAAGAAAAGAAAAGGGAAAATCTATTTTTTTCCTTTTAATAATCCCTTTTGGCAAAAAATGTATGAGCAACACATTTATCCTGTTTGTAGAGTCAGGTATAAAAAGTCAGGTATAACTTTGATATTCTAAGTTGTTTACTGTACATACATACTTAGACCCTAAAAGTATGACTGATAGAGAATCCAAGTGATATTCAAAGTTTTAGTACAGGTTTTGAATGGAACCATTCAACATATTTTTTTTTTTTTTAAATGATAATTTTTTTATTTTGATACAAATATACATTGGAAGGGGGAAAAAAACGAAAAAGGAGCGGGAAGGGAAGGGGGTAAGGGATAACAATGCAATTTATTTAACATTGTTTAGACATTGTCCTGTTAGAAAAAACAGCTTAATTGCAGCAGACCTTGCAAGGACTCGGTGCAGGCATTTCCAGGTTGAGATTACATTGTCTCCCAAGTGAGAATATACAGAGTAACATACATAGAATAGCATGAACTTATTTACAGCGAATGGCAATAGCTATGATTGTTGCTGTTGTATACACCTGTTGGATAGGGGGCTTTCCCCTAGGAGCGTTATTTCGGTGGGCGATTGTATTTCTGTTGACTGTGGGGTGTGTGGGGGGGACTGTCTCCGGTCTGGAGGTGATTGCAATCTGTATCTCTGCCACATTTCATACATGCGAATATTTGAGTTCCCTGCGCTCATGTGTAATGTTGCAAATCGTTCGTACGCTACATTTGTGGTAATCAGGTCTATCAATTCTTCCTCTTTGGGGGTCGAGTCAGATCTCCAGTGTCTGGCAATCAGCATTTGCGCTGCAATTACTATTAGAAATATTAGTTTTCGGGAGTGCTTCGGGAGGTTAAGTGGAGCTAAGTGCAGTAAGAAGGCCTCCGCCGTTAGGGGCACCTGAGACTGTGTGCTGTGGTTGGCCATCTCCCCCACCATTTTCCAGTAAGGTTGGATAAGTGGACAAGTCCACCATATGTGAAATGTGTCTCCGGGACTTCCCTGGCATCTCCAACATTTGTTGCTAGTGGAGTGATACATTTTAGAAAGCTTGTTTGGTGTCAAGTACCATCTGTACAATATTTTCCTCGATGTCTCAATGTGTGAGGCGCATAGTGAGGACCCCTTATGTGCAGTGTGTGCCCTGTCCCATTCCTGTGGGGACAGTTCCCTCCCCAAATCTTTGTGCCATTCTTTCTGGTAGCCCCAGACCTTAGTTTGGGGTTCGTTGATGATCGCGTTGTAGCAGAACGAGAGTGCTCTTTTCTGTTGTTTTGGGCTAGTACATTTGCATTCAAATCTTGTCATTGATCCTGGCAGTTCTCCTCCCCCTGAGTGTGTACGGGCAGCTGTAATCGTGTGACATTTGCAGGTATGAGAAGTAGGCAAGCTGTGGAATTTTGAGCCGATCTCTCAAATCTGCTAACGTCCTAAGTGCGCCCAGGTGCATAAGCTGATGTAGGTGGGTAATCTCGTGTTTGACCCAGATTTTGTAATTAAAGGAAGGGTTTAGTGCATGAAGGGTTCTCAACGGGGTGGCTGGTGACCACTTGGAGGGAGAGCACACCCTGTGTCTATTCTTATCCCATATTGAAATCATGTGTTGGCAGCATATTGGGGGTCTTTGGGCATACTTCTTTGGGGGCCCATAGGAGATGTGAAAGGTGACCACCCCCCAATCTGGAAGACTCCAGTGTCACCCACTGAGGAGCCCGGGACTGGGCGTGGCACCCAATTATGTTGGCTAGTTGGGTGGCCCTGTAGTACTCCCTAACGTCAGGGAACCCCAGTCCTCCACCTCTCACTGTGCGAGACAGTAATCTCCACGCGACCCTCGGTCTCTTGTGTTGCCAGCTAAATTTAGACAAGGTCGTCTGTAGAGATTTAAGGAACTTGGCGGCAACCCTAATTTGTAGAGTGTGGAATAGGTACAAAATCTTTGGCAGAATCATCATTTTAATGGCCGCGCATCTGCCCACCCATGACATAAATGATCCTTCCCATTTCCGTAAGGTGTTTGCTATCTGAGAGTGGAGTGCCTGGTAGTTCGTGTTGAAAAGGGCCCTATGTGAGCTCGTCAATTTAATCAACAAAAATGTCAGGTGGTCCTGCCTCCAGTCAAAGTTGAATGACGCCTTCAGCGGATCTAAGACGTCCTTGCCTAGGCCTATTCCCATCGCTTGTGTCTTTGTAGTATTGAGTTTGTAATATGACTGTGCGCTGAAGTTTTGTAGTTCTTTTTGGAGGTTGGGGAGGGAAATGGTTGGGTGGGATAGAGTCAGTAACACATCATCCGCAAATAGGTTTATTTTGTATTCCCGATCATTTATTGTTATGCCATGTATGTTGGGGTTGCATCTAATAGCTTCTGCAAGCGGTTCTAAGGCTAGTACATAGAGAAGCGGTGACAGTGGACAGCCCTGCCTGGTGCCGTTTGTAATGGCAAACGGGTCGGATAGAAAGCCCGAGGATGAGACTGCTGCATTGGGGGTGCTATACAGGGCTTTGACTGCCGTTGAATACGTTTGTGGGAACCCAAATTTTTTAAGGACAGCATCTAGAAACCGCCAGTTCAGTCTATCGAAGGACTTCTCCGCGTCTAAGGAGACTAGGAGGCCTTGTTTCCTGTCCATGTGAAGTGCTTGTAATACGTCTACCACTTTTTGGGTGTTGTCCGAACCTTGTCTACCCTGAACAAACCCTTCTTGATCATCTGAGATAATTGTCGGGAGGATGGATTGTAGACGTGTGGCTAAAATCTTTGCGTATAGTTTAGTGTCCGCGTTCAAAAGGGAGATTGGGCGGAAATTCTGGCAAAGCATTGGTGCCTTACCCTCTTTCGGGAGGGTTATCACCCTGGCTGCCAAAAATTCTGAGGGGAAGGTGCCCATCTGTCGAGCATGATTAAAGGTAGACAGGATGTGAGGGGATAAGAGGTGTTTAAATTTCGCGTAATATTGATTTGTGTAGCCATCTGGGCCTGGGGCCTTCAACGGAGGGAGGGAGTCTATGCAATCCATTATTTCAGTCTCTGTGATTGGGGACGCCAGGCTGTGTTTTTGGGGTTCTGATAAGGTTGGCAAGGGAACCTCCGATAGGTATGATTGGATGGTCGTAGCTGAGGGATCTGGGGTGTCTGGGTCGTCTTTGAGGTTGTATAGTTGGCTGTAGTAATGCGCAAATTCACCGCAGATTTCCGCAGGGAGTTGTACTTTGTGACCTTTCTTACTCAAGATGTATGCTATACGTGATTGTTGTTGTTTGTCTTTCAGTCTGTGGGCTAGGAGTTTGCTCGCCTTATTACCTTGTGAGTAGGCGTGTGTTTTCAGTCTATTGAGCATAAGTCCGAACTTGTGAAGTCTAACCTCTTTAAGCTTTTCTTGCAGGGCAGCTATTTGTTGCTTATGTACCCTCATTGGGTGTGTTTGGTTCTCCTTGTGTAGATGTTCAAGACTCTGTGTGATGTGTGTAATTTCTTTGTCTCTTTGTTTCTTAATGTATGACGCCCTGCTTATTAGAGTACCCCTGATCACTGCCTTATGGGCCAGCCAGAGCATGTGCGGGTCTTGCGTCGAGGTGGCATTCGTGTGGAAATAATTTTGCAGCTCCTTTTCCAACTTCGTGCAAAACTCTGTGTCTCTGAGCAGACTCTCGTTAAGGCGCCAGGGACTCCTGTGTTTAAAGTCATATGTGCATGCAAGAGTCGTTATTACTGGGGCATGGTCTGACCAATCCAAGGTCATGATGTCACACCCTAGCACTTGGGTCATGGAGGAATCGTGCCTAAGACAGTTATCTATACGTGAATACGTATTGTGTACCTTGGAGTGGTGCGTGTAGGTTTTTTCGGACGGGTGGAGAGCTCTCCACACATCCCGAAGTCCATGGTTGGCCAGCACCACTCTGATGGCCTTGCTTTGTTTTTTGAGGGAGCTGTAGTGATGGGAGGAGGGGGGCCTGGTGGAGTCCATGGAGGGGTCCTGCACGTGATTCAGATCTCCACTGACTACTAGGGTGCCTTTTCTTAGTCTATCTGCTTGGGTTAGAACTTTATGGAGGAAGTTCCCCTGGTTGGCGTTTGGAGAGTATACGTTTACTAAGGTGAAGTCCAGGTCATTTATAGTGCATTGCCAGATTATGTACCGACCTCCTGGGTCTATGATGTGTGTGTTTGACTTCACTATCAGGTCTTTACTGAGGAGGATGGATACCCCTTTAGATTTTTGTGGTGTCGTAGCATGTAGTTGGTGGGGGTACCCCCGATTTCCTACTGGAGGGTGGGCACCGGTTCTGAAGTGGGTTTCATGTAGGAATGCAACGTCTGCCTGTGTCCTTCTGAGTTCCCTCTCTAGGGTGTGGCGTTTAAAGGGTATGTTTAGGCCCTGGACATTATGGGAGTATAGTTTTAGACTGAATGTTGAGGGTGGCTAATGCTTGTGTCCCTGTGATGTGGGTTGTGAGTGGCCTGGAAGGGGCCCTCATGTGCTCGGCGCCCCCCTCTTTAACATTGCCCCCAAACTGGGGTTGAGAGTTCCCTGCTGTGTGTTTGAATGCGTCGGGGTCCTTGCGCTGACGAGGAAGTGTGCTGACCCGTGAGATCATATACATTGCCAACTTAAACAAACGCATAACATATATACAAAAACATAAATACAACATTGTCCCCCGCTAAGAGAGCGAGGGGAAGTGGAGAACAAGATTTTCCCTGCTAGTTTCTCCCACTAGCTATGACCTCCCTGGGGGAGTGTAGATCCCGGTCCGAACCCGGACACTCAGTTGGCCGAGGTCCCCACACCTTCGGCTTGTGTGTTTAATTCCTGGTATGAAGTGGCATGTTTAAGTCGGAGAAACCTCTTGACTATTATATAGATATGTGTTGTTTTTTGTTTTTGTTTTTTTCGTTATTGTATATTTATTTATTTTATATGGTCCCTCTCTTATGGGTCTCCAATCTGTTCTCGGGCCGCATCGCTGCCCGGGAGGGGCAACTTCTATGAGCTATGGATAAGGGTTCGTAGTTTGGGGGGGGTGAGAGTATATGGCAGTCGCATACTCTGGGTGTGAGATGAGTCTGGGTGGGGACTTCACAACCCCTCAAGGAGGCTGTGCCCCCCTGCCTATTTCTTGGGCATCTGGTTGCCCAGCTCCCCTCCTATTAATGCCCCCTTTTTTTTTTCTCCCCCTTAAGTTTAGGCCTCTGCTGTCTATCCATAACATATACCCATACCAGAGTGTGAATATTACCCACAGTCAGGTGATATCCGTGGAAACTGTTACCCTTGAGTCCATAGGGTCTCTAGTATCTGCAATGTCCGTGTGGTGACTTTAGAGAGTTTGCGATGTCTTCCTGGCCGTCCGGCAGCTCTGTTACTTGGCCGTGTGTGCTCGCCCTGTTTTAGTGTTCTTAACTGTCTTCCATCCCTGCTGGATCTCCGCTGGACGGTGAAGCGTAGCTCCTGTTTGGGAGTCTCGATACCCCAGCTTCGCAGCAGGCGGGTACCCGCGGCAACGTCCATTGCGGTCAGGCCCGGACTGGCCATCGGGCACACCGGGCAAATGCCCGGTGGGCCGCGGTGTCCGTGGGGCCGAGGCCGGCAGGGGAGGTCCCAGGATCTCCCCTGCCGGTCTATGCAGGGCCGGCACTATCCGAGCGCCGGCCCCACTGTCTTCCACGGAGGGCCGATGGGGAGATCAAAGAGC